TAAAATCTCAATTTTACCGATTCGATTTTACGATTTCGATTTCACCCAACCAAAACGATTTTAAGTAAAATCTCGATTTTGACAACCTTGCATCTACCTACGTAAAAGTAAAATAAATTAAACCCTAAGGGTTGGACCTATCCATATAGAGTTTTAAATCAATCGATTCTAAGGGTTGAATTAGGCTAATAGCACTGCTGTGGGGCCAAAACCTATGTGAAGGTTTCTAATATTTTCGGCGAAAAAAATCAATTCCCAACTACAACGATATGGTTAAAATTCAATTCAACCACAGGGTTGTGCTTTATCAGTTTTCAAATTTTTTATTCAAAGAAAAAATGCAATCAAGCCAATCAAGACTTAAGTTGCAGTTAGCACATTTATCTACCTAAAAGTAAAATAAATTAAACTCTAAGAGTTCGACCTACTCATATAGAGTTGTAAATCAACCGACTCTAAGGATTGAATTAGGCTACTAGCATTTCTGTGGGACCAAAACCTAAGTAAAGTGTTCTGATATTTTCGACGCAAAAATCAATTCTCAACTAGGAACATTATGTTCAAAATTGAATTTTAGCGATTAGCCTAATTCAACCACATGGCTGTGCTTTGTTCGATCTCAATTTCTTTCTTTCTTTCTTTCTTTTCAAAGAAAAAATGCAATTAATTAGGCCAATCAAGACTTAGGTTGCGGTTGGCACATTTACCTACATAAAAGCAAAATAAATTAAACTCGAAGGGTTGGATCTACCCATATAGAGTTTTAAATCTACTGACTTAAGCCGAATTGAGTATTAGAACACTCAAACTCAAACTTAACCCTACAATAACAAGCTTAAGTGGCGCCCAAGTTTTGTCGAACTCAAAAAAGTGAAGCTCGAGCTCAACATTTTTACCAAACAAGTTGAGTTTAAATTTGGTAGGTCACTAGTTATCAATTTATTTATAATTTTAAATAATTAAATTAGAGATACATTATTTTACAATTCAAATTATTTCAAATTATAAAATGAAAACTATTTGATAAGGAAAAAATTCTTTTATTAAATGATTATTATTTTACAATTTAAAATTATTTAACCTCTATAATATTTTTTTGTTAAATTAAATCAAAGAGTATAATTTTTTATTTTTTAATCTACGCGTCTTACTCGTGAGTAGCTCATATGCCTAACATATGGTCAAACACGAGCTTGATTATTTACGTTAAAATACTAATTCAACCCTTAAACTTTTAAATTTATATCAAAATTGTCCCTCAACTTTAGAAGTACCAAAATTGTCCCCAAACCTTAATTTGTGGTTCCAAAATAACCCTCAAACTTTAAGATAATATTAATTTAATCTTTAAATTTCGAAGACAAGTATTGGTTTAATTCTTAAACTTCGATTACAAATATCAATTTGATTTTTCAATTTTGATTATATATCAATTTGACATATAAATAGAAATAAATCATCATGGCAAAACTTGATTGTTTGATTTTAAAAGTCATTATTATTTTATAAAAGAATTGATTTTGTGGTAAAATAATGAGTCACATGATATTTCTATTGACAAAATGACTTTTTTAGTATTAAAAATTAAAGTTCAAGGATAATTTTAGTATTTTTTGAAATTGAAGGATAATTTTGAAAAAAATTTGAAAGTTAAGGGATTAAATTGATATTTTAACTATTATTTATCACATTTGAAATTGAGCTAAAACTTGGTTTGTTTAGCAAACAAACAGAACTCAAGCCAAACTTAAATCGAGCACCTCACAAGTAGACTTTTAACTCTTAAGAAAAGTTGGTGTGAACTGGTCAAGGTCACAATTGGCCAGGGAAATATGGAGAATTTTTTAAGGCTCGAACTTATTGAAAAATGAGTTCCACCGGCTGCTTTGAGTCATAAATGGGGGAGGAGCAATCTGTTGATGGAACTTCTTCAAGTTAGATTAGTTAGAATACTGCACCAGTTAGATTGAAAACCAGGAAAGCCTGCCCAAGCGTTAGGTTGGAATTGAGCGGTTAAGAAAAGTTGGTTTGAACTGGTCAAGGTTACAATTGGCCAGGGAAATATGGAGAATTTTTTAAGGCTCTAACTTATTGAAAAAGAAGTTCCACCGGCCGCCTTGAGTCATAAATGGGGGAAAGCCTGCCCAAGCGCTAGGTTGGAATTGGGTGGTTAGTTAAGGAGACAAGGAAATTTGTTCGGTCACACAAATTATAGATTTTTATTTTAATTTAATTATTAAAAATAATTGACAGTTGATATAATAAATATTAAATAAATTAAAATTATTTTATAAATAAATATTTTTAAATATTACAATTAAATTTTTTTTATATATTAATAATATATCACTTGAACTGACATATTTCCACGTGGGTTTATATCCACCACCTTAGAATTGCTCTTATTCTAAACAGTCAAACTTCAAGCACAATTTCCAACTCAATATTTTTTATATTGAAAATGTCAAAACTTTTACATTTAAATTATCTAATATATAAGTAACCACTGGTGTAACTTAAAGAAATATAATAAAACAAAAAAAAATACATAAAAAAATGTTTTAATTGAACTGTTAGAAGTCCAAATGTACAAAATTGGCACCTGGACCTTGGGAGCTAGTGGTAATAGCCACCTCAGTGCATTCCCTCCTCTCCAGGTTGGGTTCGAAACCCGGTCCTTGCAAATATGTTCAAAAAAAAAAAAATGTACAAAATTGACTATTATGACAATCAATGACAAAATGCAAGGGCCACCAGAGTAACCCTTCCCCATTTTCATATCATCTTTAATGGAATCTCACAAAATGTCATATTATTATTATTATTATTATTATCATTATTATTATTATTAACTTACACCTTAAATTTTAAGATTAGATTGTCCGTCTAATATTGAGCAAAAATATATGTTTAACCTTTTATTTTATTAAATTTAACACTTTTAATCTCTCATCTTACACATTAAGTTTTTAATAACTAAATTTTAAAATTTAAAGATTTTAACTCTTACACCAAGAAATTTCATTAAACCTTCATTTAAGTGAGATTAAAAATTATAGAACCAGTTCTCAAAGATTAAGAAAGTGATAGTTTGGTCCAATTTATTTTTTCATTGTATAATCATACATTTCTATCATTTAAGTTTATTTTTCTGATCTTTTGGACATTTTATTTTAATTTAACCAAAAAAATTTAGTTAATCTTAGTTAAATTTTTTTTAAAATTGAGTTAATTACTCAATTTAATTATAGATATCTAATGTTGTTCTTTTATGTGTGACAAAATTATTTATTAATTTTTTTTAGTTTACTAATTTATTTTTAAAAAACTTTAAAGACTACACTATTACTTTTCTAAATTTTAAAAACTGATTTTATAAATTTTTAAATTTTACTTATAAAGAATTACCACATTTTATTAGTTTAACGTTTAAAATCTTTAATTTTTTTTTTATCTTAATTGCATAATAAAAAATTACCATCTATCATTCTTTATTTTATCACACTCGTAAGTTATGCGATTTGAACTTGAACCTTCCACTTTTAGTGGACGGAAATAACCACTAAATTATTTAGGTCATTAACAAAATCTTTAAAATTTTAAATTTAAAGACTAAAAACTTTAATGTGCAAGATAAGAGCTAAAAATGACAAAATCAATAAGGAAAAATGCTAAACATAAGCTTTTACGGTAATATTGAATCCCAGAAAAAATGAAA